CCAGAAGATAAGGCCTTTGGGAAGATGCTCATCTGCAAAGCAGTTATAGCTAGAGTATGTCATATGTATATATAATGATAATGTTTATGTGTGATAAGCCTTTGTAACAGGAATTAAAAAAGGAAATGCGAAGGAAAAATTAGTAGTCAAGTCTACACACTATGTAAAGGAACAATGTTACATGAACCCAGGTAACCTTGTTTATTGGTCAGCAATATTCCACTGAATGAAACCCTTAGCATTATCCTGGAGTCTTTTGACAGCTCCAGGGCTTTGTTACAACTACAAATTGTACCGTACGTTATTTAAACATAAATATTAGAATAGCAACAAATAAATGTACTGATTAAACTCTCAATGCTGATCCATTCATCTAATTTTCTAGCCCATCAACCACATCTCTCTCATTGTCCTAATCGGTCATGCTCTCGGTTGCGCATTAAACATTTGGCACCTAGGCTGGAACAATTCTTAAAAGAAAACTAATCTCAGACTCCTCCAATCAAAATGCAGGTTTGGTTCCTGAGCCCTGGGAATCTGTCTGAGGTTGAAATGTCTTAACACTACTTGAATAACTCCAGTTTTGTTTTTAACATTTGTATTTCAATTGTTTTCTTTCTCAGGCACTTAATGTGAAGTGGAAGCCACCATTAAAGAGTGGCTTCACAATGCGAGGGACAGAGACGAGGGGCCAGAAGTAGTAATGCAGTGAGGGAGAGACCTGAGGAGACTGACTCGTAATTTAATTTTACCGGTGTTTGAAGTATTCTGTTTGTGTGAGTGTGTTTATTGCTGTTTTAAACTGCTATTTAATATTGGTTTAAATAAATCTCAATATATTATTATTAATTTATGTAAATAAATTATTTGAAAAACATGACCCTCAGTTTATTAAGGCCCCACACTTTCCCACAGTATCCCCACACTGGGCACACTGTGGGCCCATAACTAGTCAGCCCACACTTTGGGCTGCCCACAGGGGTTTTGCTACACTAACTATAGTTTACCATGATATTTGTAGGAAAACAGTGGTTATACAAATGGTAATCAATACCCCGCCCCCCCCATAGACATACAAAAAGGGTTTGTATGTCTCTGTTGCATTTTGTTAATAACTCTGTCTTTAATTTAAAAATCAAACCCTCTCTCTGATTTCTCTGTCATCTTGACATTAGGCTGAGTATGTTAGAGCTCAAAATGAATCTGTTTCTCTTTATCCTCAAGCAAAGTAAAGAACAGATGTTGAGATTTATGTCTAAAGCAACACTAGTCACTGCAAAAGACTAGAAACAGCTGGAGTGACATGCTGACTTGAGAAAAGATTGCTGATAAATTACTACATTAAAAATCCTAAAAGAACCTCTGACATATATGTTGTTATTTATGTGTTTTCTGTATGTACGCTTTATTGTAGCTAAATTTCTATGTCCTATACAGGACTTTTATTTTGCTCTGGAGATGTGACGTCATAAGGCTGCGCCGCGCTCCTGCGTCTGGAGAAAGGTTGGTGCTTTAAGCATTTGAAGCGTTTAAATCGATAAAACCGTTCAGGCAACTTTATAGTTTTTTTTTCACAAGCATTTAATGTAACGTTGTAATGTTTCAGCTAACATTTATAAACGTTATTTTTTTGTTTATCATAATTCAGTCACCGGCAAGTAGTGAGGAGAGAAACGGAGCTTTTGAAACTCCGAGTCAAATGAATCACTTGATTCAGTGGTTTTGAATCACTCGACTCACCGCACGCTGTCGACTCCTGCTGCTCAAAACAGTGTAAATGCACCGAGAACAACAAACACAAACATGTTTAATGACAACTTTTACAAACCAACTGCCAATGTTTTTGTGGAATCCAGTAAATGTAATCTACTAATTATTACATACCAAATCTAAATCATAGATACTTAAATATGTACTTTTAAATATAATTTGTGTGTTCTGCTAGTCTTGAGTGTTTTTATTTTTGGCTAATCATGTGTTTTAAGTGCATTAACTCTCACTCTGACTGACTCCCTCACCAGTGTGCTGACTACTGAATTATAGAGGATTGAGACGCAAGAGACTTAGATTGGATTTATTTTTCTTTCTGTTAATTATTCTGATTATAAACAGGACGGTGTGTCCAAACACACAGAAAAACTCCTGCTGAAGCAGCTGAGATCCACGTGACACACTATTATAAAGATGGTGTTTATTAAAGAGGAGAGTGAAGAAGCATTTAGAGTCAAACATGAAGATACTGAGGAACAAACAGAGATGGCGTTTATTAAAGAGGAGAGTGAAGAAGCATTTAGAGTCAAACATGAAGATACTGAGGAACAAACAGAGATGGCGTTTATTAAAGAGGAGAGTGAAGAAGCATTTAGAGTCAAACATGAAGATACTGAGGAACAAACAGAGATGGCGTTTATTAAAGAGGAGAGTGAAGACATGAAGACTGAAGAAGCATTCAGAGTCAAACATGAAGATACTGAGGAATAAACAGAGATGGTGTTTATTAAAGAGGAGAGTGAAGAAGCATTTAGAGTCAAACATGAAGATACTGAGGAACAAACAGATGGTGAGGATGATTTTGAAGTTGGAGGAGAAAATGAGATGGGAGATTTTCGACATACCCTAACTGTCTTGAACAGGAAAACACAGAGTTCACGCAGAGCTAGACAAGACGAGCGTTTAAAAAGTATATAAATTGTAAAAAAAAATTTTTTTGAAAATAACTGATCGTTTCGCTAGATAAGACCCTTCTTCCTCGGTCTGGGATCATTTAGAGCCATTTGAAGCTGCCTTTAAACTGCATTTTGCAAGTTCAAACTCGGGGGCACCATAGAAGTCCATTATATGGAGAAAATTCCTGAAGATTCCTGGCAAGTTCTCCTCTGGCCAGACGAAACCAGCATGGCGTGGGTTTAATTCCTGGCTGCAACACAGATCAGATTGTGCAGAGGACTTGTCTGGTTCTTGTGGTCTTGTCTAGTCTAGTTGACGAGGTCTTCGCAGGGGATCTGTCTCTAGGGCTCATCTAGTTGACATGGTCTCCGCTGACATTAAGGGCTGTAGAGGTCATCTCTACGTGCTGATCCACCATCTGGACTGGAAATGTGATAGTGTGCTATGTGTATGTCAGGTTAAACCAGGTTTAATTTAGGTTTAAACTGACAGAGTGTGTCTGCCTTCCAAACAACACTAGGTAGATTGTTCCAGAGTTAGGGTGCTGAATAGAAATTATCAAATGGCCAAAGTTTTGAGATCACAGTAGACATGAAGGACTATAATGTGATAAGAGCTTGCTCAAGTACTGAGGAGCTAAACCATTCAGGGCTTTATAAGTAATTAGCAAGATTTTAAGATGTATATGATGTTTAATTGGGAGCCAGTGCAGTGTTGACAGAACCAGGCTAATATGGTCATACTTCCTGATTCTAGTAAAAACTCAATCTGCTGCATTTTGGACCAGCTGGAGTTTGTTTATTAAGCGTGCAGAACAACCACCCAATAAAGCATTACAATAATCTAACCTTGAAGTCATGAACGCATGAATTAACGTTTCTGCATTTGACATTGAGAGCATAGGTCGTAATTTAGATATATT